AAATCTTCAACTGTAGGTTACTTATTTTAAGTTAGCTAATTCGATGTAAACGATATGAAGATTATTGGTAATTAATTTTGTGATTAATCAGTATTTACTACTGTAACAAGTATAAGTCAAAATGATAACCAATTTTCTTTCCAAAATGTTATCATTTAGTAGAATTCTTTTTAAACAATGGCATCTTACCTATTCTTCAATGCAATTTACTACTTTAATTTACTTCCTATGCATACTCTAATTCTTAATAACATTTATGCATCTAATAATTCCTACACATCTGATTCATAAAATATTTCTGATACGAATAAATTAACTATTCCATTAATATAAATAAATAAATTATTAAACATTAGCATTTAAAATATTGTTTTTTAAAATCATGTAGAGATAGCATTTTCTTCAATTACTTAATCAAAAAATGCAAGTTTATTTAATATAACTTGTTCAAATTAACAAAGTTTTATAAATGCTGCTTTGTCAGAATCTTATGCAGGATGTTTCTAATTTGAAGATATAAATATTTTAAATATAAACATTTTTAAATCAAGTTATATTAATGCAATAGATAACTCAATATTAAGCATAATAAACTAAAATTACTAGTAAAATTAAATTAATGCTTCCAAAATAGAAGTATTTAATTGCTTTTTTTAGCAAACAAAAGTTAACACCTAAGCAAATCCTCTATTTATCTCATCTTTTTACCAGACTACAGTAACAATTTCCAATTCCAACTTTCATGACAATTAATTAAGTGGTCTTCTTAATCCCTAAACATAATCAACTACTGCTATTTAGGTATTAAATTCTGGAGGAGATATAATACTTTATAATAACACTTTTTAAAACTCTAAGTCTAACTCATAGTATAATTTTCTATATTTTTAGAGCAATTCTACTAAGATAAATAATTGTACATTTAGCAAATCTTCATTTGACCTGAATGATAATAACTATATATTTAAATAAAATGGCGGATTTCTAAGGGTTAAAACAGATACATTGATTATTAATAATACTTAATTCTCATAATCAACATCTAGGATAGGTTCATTTTTATATATCGAACCATAAAATTAGAAGTTATTAATTGAGGTGAATTAATCATAGTTTAGTTAAGGATTTTCTATTATGGATGGAGGAGCTCTATTTTTAGACCCTTAAAGTGCGATATTTGATTTATCATTTAATTAATGCAATTTTTCAGATATTTACTCAAATTCTTCTAATTCAAAAGCTTTGTCTATTGGGTAATAATTGTTTATAGAAAATATATTTATTTTATCTCAATTTATACATTAAATTAGGCAATCTTAATTAATTTAGCAAAGCTAACAGAATCATATTATTTTAATAGGTATAAAAATTTTGAATGCTTTTGGAGGTACTAATTCTGCATTTTTAAATGCAATAAAATGTAATTTAACTATACAAAGCATGGCTGTCACTCATAATTAATAGTTTTAGGTATTAAATTTATTTAATGAAATTAAGTATGATTAATTAACGACATTCCAACTTTAAAATTCTGAGGTAACTATAAATTAATTGAATTTCAGCAATTTAAATATACCCACAAGCTCTTCACCTCTTTTAATGAGTGCTACTTCTTCAAATGTGACTATTTAAAATTCAATAGTTGAAAAAAACAATTTTACTCTAAGCCTGATTGACTTCATCCAAGGTTAGCTCACAATACAAAATACCAAATTCTAAAATATACACTAATCTATACCCAAATCAAGAATAATTGAAGAATCTACATAAAATAATTAAGGCTCTTTTAATTCATTGATCAGGATTACAAACTCATAATTAAAAATAAATTAAAATTCAGTTTTTAATTCAATTTCTTGTTTATACAACTGTTAAGGCTCATCAATATTAAGTCAATAATCTACTCTAATCGTTTAAGATTGCCGATTTATAGATTCTTAGGTATTGTAATTCTAATTTTTAATTTAATTTAATTAATAATTTTTGAATAGTCATCTAATGGTGGTTAATTCTCAGTAGTTGGACTTAATTCTATTAATAATATTATTGAGAACACGTATTTTATAAATAATGAAGTTAATAAGGATGGAGGAGCCTTTTACTTGTAAACGAGCTAGCAAGATGTATAATAATTTTATAGTATTTATAGTGATATTTATTTCTTTTTTCTCAATAGGTATTTTAGTTGAACTTTATTAACAGTAAATTTACTTTAAATAAAGCTTCGTAGGGATATGGAGGTGCAATTTATATCATTTCATAAGCATAAAATACATAACAATAGAATATCCTTTTAACAAATACATTAATTTATTAAAACAGTGCATTGGTTGCTGGTGGAATTTTTAATCAAGGGATCAACCCAATATTAGATAAAAATTCTTAAATACATAACAATATAGCTGATTATTATGGAACAGATAAATTTTCATACCCTCAAGAGTTATATTTAATAAATTAAAACAAATTTAAAGTAAATAGCAATAGTAATTAAGCAAAAGTAATTTTGGATAAATTTAAAAGTGGTGATACCCTACCAGATATTATATTTTAACTTAGAGACTTCAAAGAAATAACTTTGATTGGTAAGCCAGGGCAAGTGTCTTTTATTGAATTTACATCTGATTCAATAAAAATATTTAATAGTAATACTCAAAGTTATGAGCAAAACTATTCCTATCCTATTTAAGTTAATTTTAGGGAATGCAATAAAGGTGAAATAATCTCTTCGTATAATAATAATTTTTAAGAATGTTAAACTTGTGATGAAGGTAAATACTCTCTAGACTTTTCTGGGTGTTATTCATGCCCTTCTGGAGGTGAATGCACTAGAGGAGTAATTCTTTTAAAGCAAGGTTTTTGGAGAGAAGAACAATACAGCTCAGATATTATTGAATGTACTAATAGATTGGAAAATTGCATAGGAAATTCATATGGAAATGCTGTTTGTATAGAAGGGAATATAGGGCCCTTGTGTGAAGAATGTGATGTAATCATTAAATTTATAAAAAATAATTTTTTTTTTATTAGAATAACACAAATAAATAGGTGTATGGTACTTATTGGAAAACTAGTTATACAAAAAAAAATAAATTTGAGTGCATAAAATGTAAAGAATAGACATACAATTTATGGAAATTATTTTTATCTATATTATGGATATTTTTTGCTGTGTATCTCACTGTTAGGAGAGACAAAAAAAATTAAAGATTAAGGTTAATTGTAAATGCCTTTTATAAAAAAAATGTATACACATTTATGGATAGATAAAAGACCCTTCTCTATGAGTAGAAATCAAAAATCTATATGAAGATTTTTGTTAATTATATTTAGATTGCCTCTGCAGCTGTCTCATTTAATTTAAATATAGGAGCATGTAAATTATTTACTATCTTAAAAATTTAATGTTTTTGAAATCAAAATAAACCTTCAGTTTCATTAATTAATCTTATAAACACAAAAAATAATTAATTAATTAATTTAAATTAACAAATTTTTTATATTTTTTGACTTTAAAAAAATTTATTGAAATAAAATCAATCAAATTAAATAATAAATGGAATACCATAAAAAATAACATATATATTTAAATAAAAAGATGTAATAGATGCAATTTCTTACTTAGGAGTGCCTATTTCTACATCTATTGACTACTTAGAATGTTTAATAAAAGATTTAAATTCTGACATTCCCTTGATTTATTTGAAATTGATTGTTTCCATTCTATGCCCTTTAGCTATTTTGTTAGTTTACTTAGTATATGAAGTAATTATATAAAAGTGTTACTACAAGTCAACGCGTCTTTTTTCTTACTCAGTATATACAGCATCAATATTTTTATTCCTTTATGTATAACCAGACTTAGTTTCTTAAATGATTGGCCTTCTTTCCTGTAGAAAAATAATGAACACAGATTACATATTAATTAATATGAATTATTAATGCTACACAGATACATATAAATTTTACAGTATAGCCTTAGTTCTACCTTTTTTGATATTGTGTACTATTGTTTTACCTGCTTTTCTATTTATTTAGATTTATATTTCCTAAAGAAGACATGGTTTAAATGATGTAAAAATAAATTTAAAATATGGGTTTTTATTTTAAGAATATAAAGATTCTGTCTATTTTTGGGAGATAATTAAAATCATTCAAAAAATTGTGATAATTATTCTTCTGAACTTTTATTCTTAAGTTGTAATGGTGAAAGGTATTTTAATCTACTTAGTTATTTTGTTTTATGGAGTGCTATCAAATAAATACAAGCCTTACTAATAAGATTAATTAAATAAAATTGATAATTATTCAACTTAAATTTGTGCTTTCACAATATTGCTTTGTGTCTTCATTAACAATAATTAATACAATTATTTGAAAATTGGCTGTTTTATAATAATAGTTTTGATTAACTCATTTTTTATCATTTACATAGCTCTAAGAATACTAAAAGACAAATATAATTAAGTCATTAATCTATTGTTTAAAGTTTTTGAAAAATACCCATCAATACAAAAATACTTTAAATAAAGAAAGATAAAAATAAATCCTGCTTTAAAGCAAAAGATCAGATCATCTTTAAAAGAGTTTGCAAAGTTAAATCAAAATTAAATTAAGGAAATGCTCTCTTCTATTAGAAATACAAAAACAAGTAAATTTTTTATTTTCATTTAATTAATTTATTAAATTCCCTTAAAACAAAATACAAGCTTAATAAAACCAACAAGAAAATGATAATTAACTTAATTCTAAATAAGATTAAGAAAATATTTTTTTACAAGACTTAAGTCCTACTAAGTAGCTAGATTCTATACCAAATAGTCACAGATAAATGTTGAGCATTGAAACAGACAGCTCTAATTTTAATACATAGATGATTAACAGTTAAACAGAAAGTAAACTAAAAAATATAATATAAAAAAAAACTAAACTTTTATAATAATAAATTAGGACTTTATGCAAGTTTTAAACCAAAATCAATGTTAAGCGTAGAATAAAAGCACTTGACAAATAGTTAAAAACCAATTAATGTTAAATTTAAGATATCTTACTTATAAGCACACAGTGGAGACATTCAAGAAGATTCTTAAAACAAAGAGAATTCTATAGGCAATTAAATCGAAGATAATTAAAAGTAAAATGTGACAGAAAACTCTCAATTTAAGGAAGTCTATTAAAAAGGGTATTCGGAAACAATTTAAAACGAAATAGAATTAATAAAAAATTCTTAAATTAAAGATGGCTCATAAAGTGAACAAATTAAGATCTATTAAAATATTTGATTAATTTTCAAATATTAAAAGATTGTATCACTAATTACAAGTTTTATATTTTTATAATTTCTTTTAATAATTAAAATGAAATTTAAATATATTTTTAGTATTTTTTATTTATTTGTTAATAAATTTCAAATTATTATCCTGTTACATAATTTTTCAAGGTATTTTTTCAAATTTAAGAGAAATATTAATTAACAGGAGGAATTTCTTTAAAAATTATTTTTTTATCCTCTTAAATACTAGAATAGTCATTAACTTTTATAAAACTTTAAGAAGATTAAATAAATTTTTATTTATTATTGCTAATATAATAAGATATTTTATTCTTCTTTTAAATTAGTATTTTAATCTTAAAATAATTATTAAATTTTAATTGATGATCACGAGAGGAGCTAAAGAAATTAATTGAAAAAAAATACTTAAAAAATATTTTACAATTCACTATCTACTTTATGTAAACCAAATATTTCCATTTATTTTTAAAATGATACTTAAAATGGTTTTTTTTATACTTTAATAGACCTTTTAACTAACCTAAAATTATTAATCTGATCATTTTTTCTTTTTAAATGAATCATTTAGTAATATATAAATTAATTAAGTAGAATAAATTAAAATAAAAGAAACAATTAAAAAAATGGCAGAAGAAAAAAGCTGAGCAACAATAAAATTTGATAGTAATTAAATTTTTTTAAATTTTATTAATTAAAATATAATGTTTAAAGTGTAAAAAGTTAGATTAAAATAAAAAAAATATTAAATTTAAGCTAAACTTATACAAAATGTAAAATCAATATTTACTTAGAATATCTGAAGCATTTAAATGCTTAAAAGGTACAAAGATTTAGATGATAGTTCCCTTAAAAAAGAATTATCTTTATTGCCTAAATAAAAAGAGCTATTTGAAGAGGTTTATATGGATTTTAGGTGATTTTGTTTAATATTTAATTTTATACTTTATACTTATAAAAGAGTTAATTATATAGGAAATTAGGGA